ATATCGCCCAGCCCTAACCTACTGTACATGTTTTTAGGGGTACGGAAAAACTGAGTACCCGGAGAAAACCCACGCAAGCATAAGGAGAACTTGCAAACTCCACACAGAAAGACCCCAGGTCCAAACCGGAGATCGAACCCAGGACCTTCTTGTTGTAAAGCGTCAGTGCTAACCATTGAGCCATTGTGCTCCATGTAATTGTGTAAAATAAAGCCAAAATAWGACACAATGTAAATTTACACTATTATAACCCACTCACCAAATACAACCAGRTCAGCAGGATCACTGTCCTTCTCTCCAACCATGTTGGTTCCAACACARACATACATTCCAGCATCACTTTTCCTGCTGTTAGAGATCATCAGCTTGCCTCCACGAATCTGAAAATGAGCACGAGAGGAGAGAGGGAGGAACAGGAGAGGGGGAGACAAGCCCATGAGGAAAATGTCAGAGGAGAGGAAGCACAGAAGACAAACAGAAGACAAACAGAGGACAGAGGACAGAGGACAAACAGAGGACAAACAGAAGACAAACAGAAGACAAGCAGGAGACAAACAGTTTGAAACAGGATATTAATAAGTTCTTCAAGTAAGAAGAAACTCAGTCGTAACAAAAAGCTTTTTCTCTGAGCTCTTCTGTTATCTGACAAGAACTGCAGCCTGAGGCCAGTTAACYTAGAAATATTTCCCTCTGCTCTGTTTGTAAAGTTTACAATGTGCTACACAATATGCACAATTCTAAGTATCTGACTTACAACAAGGGATGGATGTCACTCAGTGTTCTTTCTTTCTCTGACAGTTTGACATAATTAACTAAGTTCAGRTCAGATTTTGTTAAATGATGGTGAAATGGTCTGAAATTATATTTTATTTATTTTAACGATATTTACTCATTTCCACACTGATGCTAAATAAATGAGGCTAATTAAATCTTTTAACTGACTAGATACACTGATCAGTTTTCAGCTACAGCCTATTCAGCACATAGACAACATAACATAGACATCACATAAACTAATCAAACAGTGTCAAAAATGTTTAGATTTATTAATAACTAATTTATTTAACTTTTATTTAGTCGATTGAGAACTCATTCTTATTTTCAACAACAACCTGAACGATAGGCAGCAACAGGACAATAAAAAACCCAGATATGCATACTATCTTAACATGCATATCTGGGTTTTTTTTATTGTCCTGTTGCTCTCTAAAACATAGAGATCACACTGCCAGACAGTTGGAGGGTTCTAAGCCTGAGTTTTAACACATGAAGAGTTGGACATGTGTGCGACAACCCAGCATTGGTGAGGCATTAAGATAAGATGCATTAACTATTCTAGCCTGAAATCATGGGCTTGTTTTTTTTTTTTTTGTTGCCCAGAACAACATACTTACAAAAAGCAGAGGTTTTAACACTCCCACAGTTTTTATAAATGAGCTAAAATGTGTTTCCCCTGCTATGTTAAACTTTCTCATGTCCTTTATCCAGAATTAAAACACAACCTATCCCCTAAAAACACATGCAGAACTGTTAAGGGGTCATGCACTTTATGTGTGGGTGGAGCATCTTTGTGTGTCCAGCTGTGATAGACAGAGCTATAACTCTGGTAACACTTARGATCTTACACAGCTTCAAATAAAACCGGTAGAATCAAACTATCAGCAGGTTTGTGTCAGTCCACCAGTTTGCAACAATATGTGACACACAGACTGAGTGACAGTCGTCTGAACAGTTACCTTTAACCCGTTTAGACATAGAGTTAGTGGAACTCTCATTCTTGTTTAGCAGATTAGTGGTTAGCGAAGATAACTTTTTGTTTAGCTGTGCCTACCACTGCTATTTGACTGAACATTGCTGCAAAAATGACTAAACCATCCCCCTTATCAGGCATGTTATTTTCCATTGTTAAGAAGGATGGTGGTAGATTATTGTATTGTAAAACTTTTAAAAATGTATTTATTGTAAAACACTGGAAAACATTATCTTGTGAGAAATAATTTTTTGTCACAAATCATTCTATGTTCATACTGTCTTTGTAACAAATCCACAGAAGCACAAGTCAACTTACAGTAATCCTTTCATCTCGATCGTTGACCCGGATGTTGTTTCTCTTCCAGGAGATGGTGGGCTCAGGATGACCTCTTGGGGGGATGCACTCCATGACAGCAGGTTCCCCTGCTGCTACCACCACATCACTGGGCGTCTGACGGAAGTCATCTCTTAGAACTGAAAAAATAATAATAATAAGGTTTAAGGACATTGTTAAAATAGAACTAAACATTCCTGTTAAAAACATAGTATTTATCCATCATAGCTTCTTGGCAAATTGTACATTTGGCCCAGCTAACATTCAGCAGACCTCTGCAAATAAGGTCCCTAAAACCAGTGTTAGGAGCTGAGGAGGTGATGCAGACACTCTGCATATCTGTTGTTATAAAGACAGAACAGAACAGAAAGCTACAACTGGACTAAACTATTATTTTACCTGAAGTGTTTGTGATTTCTGAAAACAGCTGAAATCATGCTTTACAAAGTGGCAAGACTCACTTGTAGAAACGGTAAGAGGTTTTGCTTCTTAAYGGAAGGGTTTTATACAAAATGGATTTTTTTTAGCTTTATATCCTTTTATAATGTCATTCCCTCATCAAAAACATACTCAGAGTATTGCTTTGACTCATTCATCATGTTTGAGAAATCCTTGAATCACCTGTAGCCACATGGAGCTGACTAAACACTTGCTGATACAAAGCTCCACCTATTTAKACAAAGCTCCTCCCTGGAGCTCAGTCTGAGATCCCGCCCCACAGAGCAGCCCTCCCCTAAAGTATTGTTATAAAACCTGCTGAAATGGAGGTGTCAGAAACAGTAGGAGAGGCACATTTCAAGGTGTTTAGATAGACTACGATGCAAAGTCACATTTATTTTTGATATACGGAGCATTTTCATAACAACAGAAGGTAACATAGTTACAAAAGGAACTTGTTTCTTTACATCTTCCAAGAGAAGTGTTTTAGACATGTCCAACTGGGAGGATACCTCAYTTAGAAGCTGGTCTCTGTGTTAACTACACTGCCTGGCAAAAAATGTAGCTATCATAAAGAAAGGTTAAACTCTAATATTTTGTTGGACCACCTTTAGCTATGATTACGACACACATTCTTTGTGGCATTGTTTGGATAAGCTTTCTAGACCAGAGATTCTTAACCTATGGGCCGCGGCCCAATTGTGGGCCGTGATCACCACCTTCAGGGCCTCAAAAGAACAACAGTTTTTAACTTTGGYCCGTGGGACTGCACTGATTTTGAATAAGGTGCAATACACTTTCTTACCACTAACAGCAGTAGTGCGCCACTCAGATATTTAACAACTTTTTTTAATATGTAGAAGAAGAATGTTAGAAACCTGCCGAGAATGGAAACGTATTTTAAATGACAAGTAGAAGCAAAAATGAAGGTACCCCATCAAAAAATACCAAAGTTTTTCACTAATATGAAGTGCAGCTTCTGTTTTTACCATGCAATATTTTAAAAGTTCAAAACATTATCAAATACAGTTGCAGATACAATTACATTTTAATTTGCACTTTAAATTATCTTTTGTAGTTTATTTTTAAACATTTTGAATTTATTTTAAAGAAAYTTTAAACTTGTCAAAAAGCTGTTGTTACTGTTATTGTTTGTCACTAATATGAAGAGCAGCTTCTGGTTGCAAAAGTTTAAAAAGGCTATATTTTCATTTTTACTTTATCAAATTTATTTTTGCATAATTTTTTTATTTGAAACTTTTACATTAAACATTTTAATTGATTTATTTTATGCCCACAATATAATTTTTTTGAATTGTCTATTTTTGTTATTGTTTATGTTAAAAATATATGTATTTTGTGTTGATAAGCCTGAGTCGTCTGTTGACTGGCCTTTGTATTTGTTTAAATAATTGTTATGGGCAGGTTACAATATAAAAAATGTTTGTTATAATCATGTCTTGTGATTATTTGACAGGAGTTTTACTTTTAAACTGTAAGTGTATTTAATTTAGTTATGTTAGTTATGATAGTTTAGTTATGATGTAAATACAATAAAAAATAAACCACGATTTATATTAGAATAATTATCATTTTGATCCATACACTGGTAAAGTCTGACTGGGCCTCGTGCCACTTTACGTTCAACAAATTGGGCCCCGAGGTCAAAAAGGTTAAGAACCCCTGTTCTAGATCCTTCTCAAAGAGACTGGAATCTTTTCCACAACCGCGGGATGCGTCTTTCCACATGGTTGTTTAAGAAATGAGAAGCAACTCATTCCACCAGTTGGGGTTAAATAACTTGTTGCCAGCTGAAAGATAATTGTCTATGCAGTAATTTTCCAATAGGAGGCTCGCACCTAATTGCTTATGTAAATCCAGGTGGTGACTTGTTTTTTTGCCAGGCAGTGTATGATAAACCGTATTTGACAGTCCCACAGCCGTTGACAGCCTCAGCCTCAACCAACAATCACTGGCAACCATCACTCTGCCCCTATTCCATTCACCGTCTTTGGTAGCACCATAAACAAGGTCAGTTCTTTGTTATCTCCTTTGTCCCTCATTGTCTTTAGTTTCCCTTGGTTAAATAAATATAATTCCTCAATAAAAGGGTAAAGATGACAGCTGAAGTCCTAGTTGCCACGCTAACTGCCTAAAGTCAGCTGTTACACTCTCCACCTCTCATAGTAGGTGTGGCTTATGGTGGTTTAGTAGTACAACTTCTCTGTTGGGTACTGATTTCTTCTTCATAGAAAAATTTTTCCTAGGCCATGTATTGATTATCAAGGCCTCAATCAGATCATTGTTCAAAATAAATAAACTCTCCCTTTAATCACTTCACTCTTCATTAGTTTTCACTGAGTTGGAGCTCCACAGTGCCTATCATCTAGTACTCATCAGAGAAGGGGAAGAGAAGATACAATTTAAAACGCTGCTGTTATATGTTGAATAATTGATTGTGATTTTTTGCCTGACCAATGTCCCGACCGTCTTCCAGGCTCTGGTWGATGATGAGATGAAGACAGACCCAGAGACGGTACAAGCAGTTGCAGACTGACCCACATCAATGACAAGAAAACATCTGGAGAGGTTCCTGGAGTTTGCAAATTTCTATTGAAGGTTCATACAAAACTACAATCACACCGGTGCCCCTCTAACAAAACTTACCTCTTGTCTTGAGCCTGAACAATACCTGATCGTATACCCACAATGTACCAAAAGACTCAACCTGCAACAAGCTCATTGGTCTCTAGTATTCATCATTACAGCCCTGGCTCGCATAACATCAAGCAACATGCCCTCTTTCACCAGATCTCAGTCTCTGATGACTCAGACGTCCATGACAACACTCTATATATATCCTTTCTGCACTAGTGAGGCCCTTACATGTGAGACAGAGGGCCACATTCATGGGGCTTGGGCCATCAAACTGACTAAGACACGGACCCCTCAAAGGATTCTTTGTATCAAGTTCGGTTCAATCACAGGTTTTACAATGGGCACATAATTCTAAGTTTTGCTGCCACTCAAATAAATTGAAACACCAGTTTTGTGTAAAGGACTTTCTGGTGGTCTGACTTGGTCCTTGATTTTAAAGAGTTTGTCTCCATTTGCCTCAAGTGTGCTTAAAACAAGAGCAAGACATGCTTCTGCAGGATACTGCAAACTTCTTCCGACATCTCTCTGGACGTCTTCAGCAGCCTGCCACCATCAAACAGTGATACAATTATTCTTGTCGTTATGAATACATTTTCTCAGGTCCAGTAGGTACCATTACCTAAACTCACCTCTGTCTTTGAGAGTGCTATGGTGATCACCGTTCACTTCTCTAAAGGCTTTTGTTAACCTGTCTTCATGTTTCTACCCTCCCGGTTGTGGCCAAACTTAGCATAAGAATCAGGAYAAGAAGAGTGCTCTGAGAGGCATGACAGAACACAACCCATCATCATGGAGCTCACTACTCTTGGGTGGAATATGTTCACAACACCCTCACTTCTTTAGATCTGGTTCTATCTATTTGAGGCCTGTCTCTACCAACACTCTCCTCTACATTGGACAAAAACTGTTGTTCCCTTTTTGTTTAGCACCATTCTCACCACTGCAGGAAGGTTTGGCGTGACACTAAAGCAGACTTTCAATGCTCTGTGGAACCAAATTTAAAAAAAACCCAGGGTTTGCTGGCAAGGAGAGAACCCAGACACTTTACTCTGGATAAAAGGTCTGGCCGTCCTCTCATGACATTGCCCTCAAGGAAGTTTCAAGGAAAGCAGCTCCTCGGTTTTCAGTTTCCTTTGAAACTGAATCAGTTCTCAGTCCTTCTGCCTCATGTTCCCTGCCATCAGGATGATACATTCCACCTTTCACTTCTCCCAGATTAAACCTGTACTCATTATGAAACCGTCTTCATTTCAGAAATGCACTCCAGTAGATCAAATCAAAAGCATGATGGTGGCTGGCATGTGGGCTGCAAAGCGGGCTGAGGGATGAATTAATGGGGGCAACAAAATACCTGTGCATGGTCTGGAAAACAATTGCGCCAACAAAAACGGGATGATTGCTTTAAACTGCACTGCTCACTGGAAAATTTGACAATTTTCTCACATTTTCTGATGTGCAAACACATCTCAACAAAAACAGCTTACTCAGATGTTATACTTAGAGACCCTCTACATGAGCTGGTGGTGGTGGAGATAATAATGTGGAGATCTCAGACAGATAGATGGATTTCTGTTGATCATACTTTCCTTTTGCTACCAGCATACAACGTTACCTAAAGCGCCTGTCAAAGAGCTTAAAAGCACAAATCAAGCTTGCAGTTCATTCTGAATTTGACATGACTGAAGTGAAACATGGTGTGCACACATCCCTGAGGTCTTCATAGACCTAATATCATTTGTGTATGTATGTATGTGTGTGTGTATGTGTGCTGTGGGGAGGGGGGGCACAGGCATCCCGGCTCATCAATAATTAAAGCTTCAGTAGCTCAGACACACAGCAGCTGAATTATTCAATCAGGCCCAAACACACACAGACCCCTAAACACTGACTTGTTAAATACACACCCATAATCAGGAACAAAACACCAACAACAGGAAAACCAAGCTGCAGTAAAGATCTTAATGTAAGTTAGTTAATCTTCAATGTTCTTTAGAGCTTTTTTAATAAAACGAGTGATATTTAGCTTTGGGTCATGATAACTGTTTAGTGCACATTGTGTGGCTGT